GACGAATGGGGGGGCGCGCGGTAGACGCGGGGCGCGGGGTCGGCGCGCCCGCTGGGGTTTTCCAAGCAATGCGGCGCGCGCGTCGACGTCTCTCGCCTTATAAGGCTAATGGCGATCGTATTTTCACTGTTTCCGTACAAAACATGTTACGATCATTGTGCGAAAGAAACACAAATGTTTAGAGGAGTGCGACACATCTCTACCTACTCTATTTATCGATATACAAGAGTTGCTCTGCTTCGAGCCACGAAATGATAAGCGACGACCGACAAAATAAATGTCAATGCCATCAGTTATATGTAGATATAAGCAAATGACGTAGTTTGGGGCACCCGCGGGCTATGTGATACTGTTGGAATTTGTTACCGCCTCAAAATGTGATTTAGTGCATATAATTAAAACTATCACTAAATAGTAAGCACTTGTTATATTAACAACTAATAGGTAAACCCTGATATACGTACATAAATGTGTTACAAACACATTTATGTACGTATATCAGGGAGGAGGTGATGCGACGTCACGTGGCGCGAGGACATCGGGGAAGCAGGTCGACACTCGACAGGTGGAAAACCCCGTTTGTTTAACAATAAGTGGTTACTGATAACGCCACCTTGCGCACGCGCAAACAACATTTCTTTGATAACTTACAGATTAAGAGTTTATTTTTGGTTTTATTACTTTAATACAATACATACTATTGCATCTGAAAACAAAGTCAACCAAGTTGAATTTAACTAATATTGACAGAAATTTGAATACTACAGTATGTACATGCCTGCTTCAAATGTAATACATGTTTCAATATCATTGTAACATTTTAAGAGAAAGTTTTATAAGTGTACGAGGTAGTTGTATAATTAGTGGTCCGATAGCGAGCGTTAGCGGAGCACGATATCAGACCGTTGACCCATTGTCTTAGGACAAAAACGAGTCGCCATACCGCACCGCCGTCAGATCACGACCCTCGCAAGAAATCACTATTACATCTCATTAACGTTAAGATGTCACCTAGAATAAAATACAACCCTAAATTTTTTTATTTTTAACACAACTATTTGTTAAAAAAACCATATGGAAAAAAACTAGATTGGTTTTAGTAAACATATTTGTTATTTTACACATATATTTGTATTTAGACATGTGTATTTTGTATAAATATGTATGAGTTAGTGACATAACATAACACACACATACATCGCAGCACCGATGCCAGAGTTAATCGCACATGGAAATACCTAAATACACACCTTGAAACGTTTCCTACATTGTATAAATCTTATACATAACTGTACGTTCCTCGTAAGCAAGAAAAACTTCAAACTTATATTATTTAGTTGGTAGTAAACTAAAGCGATAAAAATATTAAAGTAGCATACAAAAAATATATTTAATTAAAAATTAATCTGCGGTAGCCTTTTGCAAGTATTTTGAACTTACTACGTAAAATAGTTAAGACTAGGTTAGGTTTTTGTGCATAATATATTAACTGATATAAAAACGTGCATCTCATGTCAAGCATCGTAATAATTTACTTACTACAAATTTGGGTGAAATGTCATTTGAAGGTCACAGTACCTTTATGTCTAGAACTTGTCATAGCAATACGTGGTAAATTATGGGTGACAGTTTTATGTACGATATTCAATACTATAATAGGTGGGAAGTGAATTTAATTCTTCAACTATATATATATAAAGTTATTTAATTAACCTATTTGTGAGATTACAAGCTAGGCTTTGGCACAGTGCCCGAACGACTTCTTTCGACAACTAGTAATAACAGTATCGACAACTTTTTTATTTAATCTACTATTAAAGCTATTTATATTTTTTGCTAACAATACAAAGATATAAACATACTACAACTTACTAAAACATTAAAAGATAATTTGATTTTATATTAGTTTACCAGAAAAATGTTACCAATGTTGTTTTCTAACAAGGAACAATTATCATACACAAAGAGGACATGTTTAAAATTATAATTAAGTAGACGTGGATCTAATCAAAAAAAATATCGCACAAAAACTATGACATTGGAATGTAAAGCGGCGAGCGTGACATAAGTATTTGAAACGGTGGATATTTAAATTAATAGAAAAATGCGACATAAATCGTGAGGAAATATTTGCAAGCTAACAAACACCTCGCAAGTAATATTAAAGCAAGAAGTTGGAAAGTAAGCGACGCTATACAATGGCGTACAGCCCGCGGCGACTGCGGCAGCGGAGCGCACTTTCACGTGGGTATAACCCAAAATGTTCGTGTGGTCATCATTACTTACAAAAGAGCGCTCGCGGGTGCTGTTTGCGGTTTTCCTTCAATCGTCATTTGGAATTTTGCAGCATTATAACGTCACCATAAAGGTAATCCCTCAATGTTCCCTCAAACGATGTCAACCGGAAATTGTTCAAAGGCCGCTGTGGTGACTAAGATCGATAATTATCGTTTACAAATTACAATTGGAAACAATTATGGGATTACTCTGACAGCCGATTTCATTATAGAGAAAAAGAAAAAATGTTGAGATTCCAGGATACTCGTTCTGTAAACTTCATATTTTATCTGAAGTGATAAGCTCATTGTTTTTATAAATTCTTTTATAAGTTTATTGTGCTTGTTTGTTTATTTTCCTTATTTCCTAATAATGCAGTTTTAAATATTACTAAACTTTATTTTTTCCTGTAAATAGTTCTTTATTTTGTTATTTAATAACAAAATGGCATCACAATTATATAATTAAGAAATGTACGCGACAGCCAAAATTTTGTTACGACGTAACGCAGCAACTTGCGGACAGTGTGCCGGGCTGGGTCGGGCCGGGGTATCCCAACGCCGGCCGCTTTCACTTCTGATCAACGCCAACTCGGGTTTACCCGCCGCTATTGCTGGCCGCGGCAGATGGCTGAAGGCAACTGACGCGACACATCCTACATAAAACTTGCTGTAGTAATCTCATGTGGACTTCTAACACTAGTCACATTGATATTGGAGCTTCTTGAAGTCATATACAGGAAAGACAAAGGCTCATGATCATAAAATGGTCATGTGTAATATTTTATTCCCAGTAAAATAGGAAGTGACAGCATCAAAACTTTATCATATAGAAATAATGATGACCTTAAAAAGACAGATGTAATTGAAACCGGTAGGGGGAGGGAGGCTGGCGCTGGCGCGCGACTGGTTCTCGGCAAGGTCAGGCTGGTGGGTAAAACCGAATGCAAATACGTATTAAAGAGTCCGCGCTGAAACTCACCGCTTGTATAACAGACGGAAAACCCGCGAGACTGTTTAGCGACCGCTGCGCCAACACTAATCACATTTTTATGTTGTACATTTCTCGAGGGCATACCTAGCACACGTCGCACACAAAAGTAGGATGCGTTGCGATGTAATATTTTATAATAAAAGCTTCATTTGCATCACACTCTAATGCATCGACTTTTCGTGGTATCTTGAAGACAATCTTGTTTAAGTCGTTGTTTGGAACAGCATAAGTTTAGAAACATAAATGATTTACAGTCTAGTGGTTTCAATATCTATATGATTGCGATTGAAGACGTCAATCTCACCACGAGACATTATGTAAAAACAATTAATGTTTTTTCTTACATAATTGCAACGACTACTGTTTATATGAACGGCTGTTTAATTACGATTGTATGAGGGGTCATTAAATCAATGCGATTCACAGCAGCACATCCGTCAACGAGTGTCGCGTCACGTGGCTGTCGCCATTGTAAACAGGTTTGATTCCGGAATCCTAGGATACAATTCATAAATGATGATAGATCCGTATTATTTCTGCAAACGGGTATTTACTACGTAGTGGTCTCCTAGAGTCAATGGTTTGTGTTGGTTTACGCTCGAAGGTGAACTGGGTTCGCTCACATCCGTTACTTAACTCAGGCTATACAAAAGGCGAAAGGAAATTATCTCGGCACTTCCGGGATGTGAGAGCGAGGTCGCGGCCATCGGGTATCGGGAAGTTGATCTAATGATCGCGAACAAATGATGCTGCGGAACAACATCCAGTAGTTTTTTGTGCATCCTGTAAATGTCAACGCTAACAACATCTGACTGGCCAGAGATGATTTGATATACCCTTAACGTAAAAATTTGAAATAATTTATTTATTATATTACCCACTCTTCAAGTGAACATTGACTTGAGCGAGATAAGAATATCATAAGTATCTAATGATTGCGTACCATCTCAGACGTAGTACGCTGACAAGTTTTCCAACGTATGCAGAGATCGGAGCGCCGTATCACAATAATTATGATTGTTGCGTACATAATATGTAAATAAAGGATTAGGTGCAGTGAGTAAGCTTTTGCGGTACGAGTGATGTCATTGCACCGGACAAGGGCCTTGGGGGTTTCGCGAGCCTCCACATAAGGTACTCGAGTAAGGGTTTTTTCTAAACTCGTGACCTTTAGTAGCTGGTATCGGTAACTTCCACTCGTCGTGTTCTTCAACATTTGTACTAACATTAAGACTTCCTTGTTTGTGCGTTTAAGCATAGTTTAAACCAATACAATTAATATTGCAATGACAGACCCCAGTTATTAAATCCAAGGAAATACAAAAAAAAATCTTAGAAGACTCACGTCTTTTTGTGAGACAAGGATATATTAAAGATTAATGTCTCAATCAAAACAGGATGTAAAACATATAAAACTGGTTAAATTACAAAATTCAAACGTCTAAAATGGTTTTTCGCATATACTTGCTAATGTATAGTCGAGATGTTTTAACACCAACGTAACATGGTGAGAAACTATCAATTCGTGTGCTTGAAACTCTGACAATGTCCAAGTCATCCGGAAAATTGACAATATTTTGATTGGAATATGAAAAACATCGGTTCAATTCGTTGAAGTCGATTTTCCCTAACCAACTCGTCACTGTGGGTTTCCACAATTATAAAAATATTTGTAAACATATTTTTTAATAATAAGACGGAATATGTTTTTCTACTTAGAGCTGGGCAGTTTATACAATATATAATTAGGTGGCCTTTTAGGATAATATCTTGGACACGGTATAATATTACGTCATAACATTAATAAGAAACAAGTAACGGTTACGCACATTTCTTATCAGTTTTCCCTTAAACTCGCGTATTCCTATAACATTACTCATTCAGTGCTATAAATGCTTTATCCGTTTTATTCAGTACTGGAGAGCCGTTTCTTTCAATATTCTATTAATTGGTACATTGTATTTCAAGCTATACTCGGTGTCGATTATGTAAAGATCATTCTTTAGTTATCATTATGACAAGATAATCGGTAAATTAAATTGGGCCATAAAATAAAGACATATACAAAATGGCGACTTTTAACAACGCGATATCAGTGCAGCGTCCGTCAGCGCCTTATCAGAGGTCAACATTTTGTACAAACAATTAAACTATGTTCTGAAATTGAGGCCAACAAATTTATTTATTGACCATAACGTAAGGTAGGAAGAGGTAAATAAACGTGTATCTAATATAACGTGTATCGCATGCACCAAACATTGCGAGGACAGTTTACTATTAATGTCATTGGCGAAATGAATATTATGAAATGATTAGACAAGATACGTAACAACGTATGTTGAAAATATGTAATTTTAATGGTTTCGATGTTAGTTGGTGATCACTTATAAGCGAACCATAGACAAGGTGATCACTCTATTCGCCTCATTCATCTCAGCCAACGACCGCAACACAAAACAATGGAAAACAAAAGGAAAACGTAAAAAAGCCATTGAGGTTAATCCGTAGCGCAGTGTTGGCGGGAAAACCCTGGTTTTTACGGAGCGATGCATCAGAAGGCATTTTAGTAAGAAATTATTATATTTCTCTCAAAATAAAAAATAAAATAATAACTCTAATTTGCGGTCGCACCTATGAGATGAGAAATTGTTTTGATGTATTCAATTTAATTTATAATATTAAATGTCCTGATTATTTGATCTGTTTTACAATAAACCTGACAGACAATGTTAATATATCAAATGAGTGGTACAAAGTGAGAGGTCATGTGTGCAGCAGTATAAAGTGAAATTGACACTTACCATTATAGTTTTTCTGATTGAGGACAGTGGACAACTTATGATGTGGCTGGTCCTGCACGGGCGCCAGCAAGGCTTGGATGCAGTCTTTGTTGTTAGCAGCCACGGCATGGTGCAGTGGTGTCTCTCCATTGAAGTCTCTGAGTGCCAGCGATGCCCCCGCAATCACCAACATCCTCGTTACTACTGCATTCCCACTCATAACTGCTAAATGTAATGCTGTGTGTCCATAATCATTGGCCACATCAAGCCAGGATTTCTCTGGACAGACTCTGATGAGAGTACCAACTGATTTCTCGCAGCCGTGGACTGATGCAATGTGCAGTTGCCTGTTATGAAATAAATGTAATTAGAAAGGTATAATTAAATCTACTTAAATGATCTACTATTATTCCATCACAATGTAACATTGCTCATAGTTAGCTGTTTTTATACATTATAACATAAATTACAGTTACTGCAGATATAAAACTGTTCTGTGCAACTGGAATTCTTTACATAGGTTAACCATACAAATAGGATACTGACTTAAAATCATCAATATCTTGTTAAAAAAATCCACTGCTGTGAGAAATATGAGTGGTCAAGCAATAATCTGATTTTACAAAAATGCACATTGAAACTAATTATACTATTTTTGTAGAAATTATTTTATTAAAAAAAGAACAAATTTTAGTTATATTTTTATTCACCTACTTTGTCTACATGAATATGACTTAAGGTTGATTTAATTTCAAAAGTTCCCTTCCTCAACAGAAATAGTTTGGTAAACATATTTATAATGCAATAAAGCTATCATTCATTAACATAGAAACAACTACATGCAATTTAAATGACATTTGTCATTCCGCTTTGAAAAACCCTTGATAACAAAATGTTTCATAAAGGTATTTTAACCCATAGAATGTATTACAATCAACATTTTATGATAATCATATTAATATTGGTAGTGATATCAAGTAGAGTATTTGTCATTGCAAATATAGTTGAATGTCAACATAAAAACTATCCCGTCATTTAAGTTGTTACAATGAAATCGGCTAAAAGTTTAAACTTTCAAAGTCATACAAGAGTCTTATAAGATTTTTTTTAATTTCTTTCTTGCAAGTTGCTTTAAAATTAGAAATATGAGAAGTTAATATTAAGTAAGCTAACCTTTAGTACTTTATATTATTTTATTCAAGATTACCAATTATTATATTCACAGTATAAGAATCCAAAAAGAAATGAAACATAACATACAACTACTTTAAAATCTAGCATAACAAGTTAAAATAGATTGTAAAAAGAGCCTTCGAAGTGTTGTTTTCAAGGTCTAAATTGCATACTTCTAAAACCTTTAACGAGTGACTTACGTGTCCCCATCGTCGTCCTGCTGGAAAAGTATTTGGTAAGGTGGGTAGTCCAGGCTTCTTGTAGGTTCCACTTTAATCCTCGGCACCTGCGTGTCCGTATCACTAATCTTAACATTAGAAAGACATTCTGATAAGTCTAAACCACTGTCTATTTGTTCCTCCGAAAACTGACACACATTTTCACTATCACAAACGGCCCCGACATCTATTTCTCCCGACAGCTGTTCACTACTAATTACTCCAGACAGATAGCCTGAATCAGTGTTTTTGTCTTCAAAAACTTTTGTTTCTTTTTTGGCACTCATTTTGGATATTTGATCACAACAATACTTTACACTCAAATAATAGTAAATTTACACTTGGCAATGGCACGAAGGCATGTTTAAAAAGTAAATAATGTTTTGCTTGCAAACAACCGTGTCGGTTCAAAATCGCGTGCGCAATGAATGCGAATTGGCGAATTTGTAAAATGGACATTCAACAGAAACAGAACGTCATACGTCATAACAAGTCAGGCAAGCCCAGCCTCCCTTCCCCCTCTCTCAATATCCGTTGGTCCGTATAGATTATAAATGGAAATTTCCATAATCGAATAGTTGTAACGGCATTCCATTTAATTATTTTTGTAAGGAATGCAAATAGGCTTAAGTAAAAAATACTTAAAACTTAGCAACAAATAAATATTTGTTCACTTTAATGTTTCTTTTGGATAAGTTGTTTTTACTTCATGTTTTTTAGAGAAGGGTAATATAAAGAAAAAATTGCTGCTAAATTTTATAAACAAAGATTGCAAAGTGCATAGATTTAACCAACATGAAAACTTTTATTTGGTCTAGATTTTTAAGCTTAATGTGTATCCGAACACTTAATCAGGATGTAACAAAAAGTCAAGTTGAAGTTGAATGATAAGTGTTAGGTTATGTTTTGATTTTTTAAAATGTTTTTTTCTTTTAAATACAATTTTACTTGATTGAACTCTGATTACAAAAACAAAATTAAATTGGGTTTCAATTTATTTTACCAAAGATAAAGAAAAGCCACTTGTAGCAAAGAATACCTTAACATTGTTTTGGCGGGAATATTTTAGCATTTTATTTTTCAAGCAAAAGGCTGAATGATAACTGTAATCTTAAAAAAAAGTTAATAACATAATGAAGGGGTAGTTTCAATTCTTTTCAAGACCAAAAAGGCGAGTCGTTTCATGTAGAGGTAAGTGATGAATGTTAGGTTCTGTATTTTTTAAGTTTATAGTAATTAATTTGTATCACACCATTGCTATATGCAGGTTATTCATTGTTATAATGCTTAAAGGATTAATATAGACTTTGACTCACATTTTTACTTACAGAATGTTTGGGGAAAAAGTGATAGAATTAATTAAGGAAGCTGAAAGGAATCGTGATACAATTGATCAGTACAATGTAAGTATTAAATTAAAAAAAATTAATTACTTACTATGACTGAAAGTAGTGAAACGACATACTTTTCACTTGTACAGAGACGCAAGTCTATTCTAGTCAGTCAAGTACATTATAGATTTCCTTTATTACAAGATCAAATCTTTTTCAATTTGCATAAAGACTCTAAATGTAAAGTGCAGTGTTAAATGCCAATAAATACTATAGCGTCTGATATATTGATTGCAAGCATTATTGAGGTAAGCAAGAAGCACAGGCAATGCATACCATGTTGAGCTATGTATATGACAGTTTCCTAATTTCCCTCCAGTAAAATTAAAATTGTAAAATACTAAAATTGATTGCATCAATTAAAAAAGAATCCTTCACCCTTCTAATTACAAAGTGAAATTGCTGTCTATATGTATGATAAGTATTAGGTAACAATTGGTTTAAATTTTTAATATGTATTTAAAGGATGAAAAAGTGCGTCAGATTATTGAGGAGATGCATGTGTTATTCAAAATGAACATGGCGGATGCGTGAGTTGTCATTTTTATTACTTAATTATACAAAGTATTCTTCAACTAGGAATTTTGAATATATAAAAAAGGAAGATAATGTGGTTAAAGAAATGTGATGGTGAAAATGGGGTTATACCTTTACTAATAAGGAGTAAAAAAAAATGTATTTTTGGTTGTATTATAAATTCAGAGACACTTTCCTGATGCGTTTTCTTTGATTTCAACTAATATAGAAGAACAATTATGTTTACTTGAAGTATTTTACTCATGGAAAACAGCATAATTATATAGGAGTGTTTTTTCTAGAAATGCGACATCGGAGAACAAATCTCTTTGGACAACTGTGCAAGTGAGGCACTCAGCATTGGAACGTAACAAGCGTTGTCTCCTCGCATACCTCTGCAACCGAATGAATAAAATTAGAACATTACGCTGGGAGTTTGGTTCGGTGCTTCCATCAGATGTGAGAGAGTTGCTCTCCGATAGCGAGTACACGTGGTTCTCAAAGTACTCTACAAATCTCGCGACTTACATGAGGTCGCTTGGTCAAGACATCGGCTACAGCGGGATAGACCTCACAGAGAACCTCAGACCGCCCAAGTCTTTGTACATCGAAGTATTATGTATGTCAGATTATGGAAAGCTGGAACTGGAGGATGGAGACGTGATACTGTTAAAAAAGAACAGCAGGCACTTCCTACCGACTTCGGAGTGTCAGACTTTGATACGTCAGGGCATCTTGAAACAAATTACTTAGCATTGTTAAATTAAGCGTTAGTTCGATAAATCATAAAACACCAAGTGGGACCAAAAGTGGCAAATATTTTTAGTGTTTTGAATCCTGGAAGAATTAATTCGTTTTGCGTTTGTTTAAAATGTGAATAAAGTGATGTTAAAGTAATGATTAAAAACATCGGATGTTGTTGTTTCTTTGTCTTGATTATTGAGTACAATGTTAAAGAATAACGATTTAAAATCGATTTATGTGTAAAAACCCAGTGATTATGTTATGTCCTAATAAACATACAATAACGAACATAATGTGGTATGGATTTCCCTCAATAAGTGCTAATACTTCTCAAAATTAATTAGTTTAAATATGATATACTTATTTGTTGTAAATTAGAGTATGACTTTTATTTAAATTTCATGGAGATCCATGAATGCGTTCTGTTGATACTTCCATCCATCCATCCACACATGTCACAATTTTCGTTTCCATACTCCTCCGAAACTGCTTGACCGATTCTCATGAAATTTTGTGAGAATATTGAGTAGGTCTGAGAATCGGCCAACATCTATTTTTAATCCCGCGCGGACGGAGTCGCGGGCGACAGCTAGTAGAATATAGATAAAATAAAATAAAAAGAAGAAAACAAATTATAAACTAGCGATATCACAGAATTTAATATATAAATTTAATTAAATTTTCATAGGTTGCAAATTGGATTTTTTTTTAATATTTCCGAGAGAAAACCTATGTAAAATTTTCGATGATTATGATTCAGTCAGGAATTCCACGGAATGTAACAAAGAACCATTTTCTGTATTGCAGTATAATAAAAGTTATCAATTAGGCAAATAGTTAAAAAAATAAGTAAGCGGAAATGTAGCAATGTAGGTATATTAAAGAAGTAAATAATATATCTATGGAATACCTGATATTTTTTATAATTACAGCAGCTATCAATAAATAATTTTTCAAATCATAAACGTTTTATAGCGAAGTTTGTAACTTTGTGATTACGATCTCAAGCTTAAGTTTGTGGTTTGTGTCTACCTCTCTGGTTTATAGGCGTAATGTTGTTAATTTGGTGTAAAAGTGATTTATGTTATTGATTCCGTATAATTACATCTATTATTTGTAATGCACTTCTAGGTAACCGGAACTCTTTTAGGTTTTATTTGACTAAATATTATTCATCCTAGTGCTACAGATTTAGTGTAAATTATTAAAAAAAAAATTAAACGCCAAGAAAAACTTCAGATTCAGATGAGCACATCATGCAATATGATACTGTAGTGTTCAAAATTTAATTATAAATACAGAATATTTAGAAGATAATGAGCGTTAATGTGTTAGTTTAGAACATATTGCTGAATGAAATGACCGGACGTAACGGACGGTCGTCTACCCGAGAATACCGGACAACAAACCCGGACGGGTTTTTCCTCTTTTCTGACAGCTCCCCTTACAAAGGGTTTACAAAAGGTATTTTTTTGTGGAAATATTAACCTAGATGTGGCCACTCTCAGTCTTATCTTAACCTCAAATAAATCAATTAGTTTTAAAATATGCTGCAGCATAACTTTTTATCTAAATGAGGTTGATTGAGAAACTGTAGGTAAAATGTACGACCGCCAGTGTAGTGTCTGGTATGATCCTTATCTTTTTACTAGCTGTTGGCCGCGACTCCGTCCGCTCGGAATTAAAAAAAAACTAAATTAGTAGCCCGAGTATTCGTCCAGAAATTGTTCTACATCTATGAGAATGAGAATATCAGTCAGATCGATGCAGCCATTCTGGAGATAACTCTAATAAAAATCCATCCATCCGTAATTCATCCATCCATCCAAACAATCGCATTTATAATATTAGTGAGATTAGATGAGATTTAATCGATGTACGATGTGTGTAATGTGATCTGATTTCTGGACGAAAACGTCGCCTTAATTATTCAGACAGGGTCTGGAACTATATACAACTTCGCAAATTATCGAAAGAAAGAAAAAACTAATACCATACATATAATTGCGCAATGTCGAACGTAATGTATAATAAATATAGATTTGATAGCGCATTTATTTGTGATAAGTTCGCAATAGATAGAGGCGAGGACGGGTGTCGGAATGCGAGGATCACGTGAGGGAAAACCCGGAGACGAGGGCACTGCGCCGCGCCCCTCCGCCATGCCGGTCATACTACGCAGAATATGGCTAATGTTTACCACTGAATAACGTCGGATAATCCAAAGCAAAACAATAATAAACAGTTACAAGAATATAAAAATATTTGCGTATGATTCACAAAACAACGAAGCACTAAAAAGATTCACAGTGACAATGAATGTCGAATGTATGTGAGAATTAAGTTTTGTATATATGAAAACAAAATGTGTAAATAAATTCACAGGGAATCATAATTTTGACCTTGGTCGTTTGGTATTTACTACTGAGATTTTCGTGGTTTCTCACGCTCGATATATTTAACAACAAAATGCGACGCTACTTTCAGCTAAAGTGACGCATCGACCGCGTGCCTACAGATTTACATACAAAAATAAACTAGTCCTAATAACTCGCTGAAGGAAAAGCTTTTCATGACTAGGAACATATAATCGATTGAATAGTTTTTGTATTACCATGGTAAGCTTCTGGTACAGATGGTTTATTATTTGTACAGATCAAAGATAATTGGAAAAATTTAAAGAATAAACAAACGTTCTAAATTAAATAAAAAGCAATGTTGCCAATGTAGCCTGAACATGACAGATTTTAATAAACTTTTTGCGAGTTGTTCTGTGGAAGTAAGAGAAGGTGTTTGTCCAAAAACAATTACACATTTCTTTTGCCTCATATGAGTAGAGCGGGAATACCTGTGAGTAAGGCTCGAGGGCGGCTGCACCAGTTGTCCGCAGTTATACGCTGCCGTTAACAAATCATTGTTGTTTATGATGCAATGTCATTATGTAATAGGGTTACGTTACAGAGGTCTAGAACATTGTTCCTCATAGGCAGTAATGATTCGTGCAACAAGCACCTGTGTACTGCCTTAGTAATACAGGTTGAAGAGGCGCCCAGAACAATTACTACAAGAAAATAATACTTTACTGTAGGTTAGTGTGTTACACATTTTTTCCTGTCCATTCTTTGGTTCTTGTCATCAAAAACAGAAACAGAACGAAAATGAAATACTCGTCTTAGTTTTCGTGATCCTTTCTTTTATCAAAGAATCGTTACGTCGAATACTTTGAAGTAAAAATCGTCTAATGAAGAAAAAACATGGATTAGATGTAAAATTTGTTTCGCACAATTACACCGATCATGTGATTGTAGTCGAATTTCCCCATTAGTCATTAGTGACCGTCATAAGACAGCCTTAAATTGCTTGGAAAACATTGGGCGATTATATATTATGCGTTAAGATATGCAAACAAGTAATAGAACTACGGAAGAAACAAAACAAAGAATAAAATACGTCATATGTGACGTTGGAGCGTCGTTTTTGTGCAACTGTTTTGAATACAATTGGCATATAATATACAGTGTCCTATAATTTATTGAAACAGTGACGTTTATTGGATTCCTGCCAAAATATGATTATTTCACGAATATCCGATTTTTAGGAAGAAATCATAGAACTGATTTTAATTCTTAAACACAGTTACCCTGACACCTATACGTAAGCTATCTTAAAAGACTTGTGCATTTTGATTTCTTATTATAAGTATTATTAATAATTGGCTTGTGTTATTAATGTATTACGGAGAACGTAGATTTTTATCTCTAAGTATATACAATACAGCACTATGCAATCAAAACAATGTATTGATCATTACAAACATCGATATTAACATTACAAACATTGGAATTATTTTTTCCTTTAAATTAACATTGAATAATTCCCTAATCTAGGGTTTATCTAATGTCCCCGGAATCTCCCAGTTCAGCTAGTGCTAGCTAGCTGTTCGCTTTACCGTTAACACCATCCTATAGATTACTGGGAATCAGTTTTCTAATCGGTTGAGGAAAACCGGCCGCTTACAGATAAAACCACCGCAATACAATTATAATGAATTTTAGCGGTGCATATTGTGTTTATTATTTTAATAAGTCGTAGGCTAGTGATAATCAAAAATGTCCCGCCACCCTCCACCGCAAACACGGTGGGTAATACACAAGGGAAGACCTACGTCCGGTTATGATGTGTCAATAAATTTTTGTTATAAGTATGTAACAGACATTGGCTAAATTGCAAGGTAATATATTTGTTGGGGGTAGGCATATCCCACTTTGACCGGTGAATTAACTTCTGCATATAGAAGACAAAATGATTCTTTTACACAACAGCAGTATGTACAGTACATTGAATGTTCTCCTGTCCGTTTCAACTATATTGCGGATTTTAATCCTACCTAAGTAAACTGTAAAGTTATTACAGTAAATTTTAAGATATTAATTCCTGTCAGTAGACTGCTATGTTTGTGAAATGCGCGTACGGCGGCGGCGGACACTTTGCGACTCGTAAAATTTTACGGCTATGCTCCCGTTGCCTCGGGGCTTTACGCAGTCGCTCGCTTTTAACGCAAATTGGTGTTATTATTTAGTAGCTTTAGTATCGACAGCAGGGATTTATTGCCGCGAATAAAACAATAGGCTCCTGGTATTGAAACAATGCTGACTAAATTCTATTCTAGCTTAGTTAAAATAGATAATTATAAAATGTTAATGTAATCCTAGTATTAAAATATAAACTTAATACATAAATAATATCAATACAAAAGTAAGAAATATATGTAGATTTTGCAAAATTCACATTGTATAATATAAGTTTTGATAAGTTGAAATTAAAACACGCGTGTGTAATCTATTGATGCGTCAAATGTTTACGAAGGTATTGAGACTAATTTACATGGATTTACCAAAAGAGATAAAATAATAAAAACCCAACTTTTTGTCCGCTGATTGTAATTGCAGGTCAATTTTGTAGATATCGCTATATTTTATAAGTTAAAACAATGTTATGAATATTATACAATGTTATTGATATTTTTGTAAACGAGAGTTTATAGTGATTAAATAATTGTACAAAACCATATTTTCCTAATTCTCTTGTCTATTCTTGTTTTCAAAAACTGCAATAAATGCGAAATGTTTTATAATACAAGAATGCTATTTATGTCATTTAGGCGTTTAAATAGAAATAAAGGCGTAAGTTAAGAAAGGCTTGTTGTTTAGAAACAATAGCAGGTGAGTCGCTGAGAGTAGACAAGTTAAATCTCATATAAGAGTATTACAAGAAACTAC